CCCGCTTTCGCCAGCGCCGAGTACCACGACTGGCTGCAGAGGAATGGGATCCGCCGGATGCTGGTTCCGCCGTACCACCCCGCTTCCAATGGTGCAGCAGAGCGGGTGGTACAGACACTCAAGGACAAGCTCAAGAGGAGCCAGCCCGGGGATTTCCGGACCCAGGTGGCCCGGGTACTGTTTCAGTACCGGACCACACCCCACGAGGTCACTGGCCGTGCCCCCTGCGAGCTTCTGCTGGGCCGGATGGTCAAGACACCCTTGGACGTCTTGCACCCAGACCTCCGGTCCTCGGCGCTCCTGAAGCAGCTGAAGCAGAAGCTGGCTGCTGACCGAGGGTGCCGTCCCGGGCCTTTGCCGGAGCCGGGAGCGTCGGTGTACGCCAGGAACTTCCGTCCTGGCCCACCCTGGTCTGCCGGACATGTGGTTTCACCAGCGAGCGCCTCATCGCTGTTCGTCCGCATGCCCGACGGGACCACCTGGCACCGGCACGCCGACCATGTCAGGCCTCGCCTCGGGACCTGGCTTCCACCCTCGGCCGTTGCTTCAGAGGACCAGCCTGCAGGGGGCCCAACAACAGCACCGGTAGCGGCCGGCGGAGCGCCATCCACCCCGGAGGCGACGAGCGTCGACACTCCTGTGGCACCAGTTGGACCGGTGCCACTCCCCAATCCGGTCACTGCAGCTCCACCGGGTGGAGCGCAACCAAGTCAGGCAGCGCCCGGCGTTGCCACACCTGGCCCGTCGACACCAGTGCCCAGGCGGAGCGCACGGCAGCGGAGGCCACCTGACCGCTACTCGCCTGGGTGATCTTCATCGACCGGCCAGGACTTTGCACGACCAGACGCCGAGTTGGTGTCGGCCGTGCGCGTCGTGTATTTAGTTTTTTTTTGTTTTTAGGAAAAACAAACTGGGGGGGAGGAGTGTAACAAGTTAGTGGCGCCCCCCTCCAGTCCGCCCGTCCGCGGCCGCCTGGCTCGGCGGGCAACATTGTTCACCTCACCAATAAACACCGTTGAGCACACGCTGCTCCGGCCAGACATCGTCCACCCTCACAAGCAGGCTGCGTGTCGTCTCTCCTCGGCGGGTGCTTCGGCCCCCTTCGTCCACGTTCTAGAAAGATCGTGACACTTTAAATTAACTGACCTGATCCTTGAGCAGCCGAGCCAGAAATTCTCTGTGGGTCAACCAGGCGAACGGCGCTCTTGTCGGAAGCCCTTTTTTCATGCAAGCCTTCGCAACATGACCCACCTTCTCGCAGTATCTGCACTGCGATGTGCTGAACTTGCATGAACTCGGGCTGTAGAGCTCTTCACACCGGTACGTAGCACGGCGTTGAAGATGTTGCGGTGGCCTCATCGTGCCGTCGGTGTGTCAGGCGTAAATTTTCTGCTTTGTTGACTTCCTGGAAGTCTTGTTTGATATGTCGCTGATGGTCCTTGGCGTTCTCCGCTCGTACGGCTATATCAAAGGCCTTGAGAAACGTCAGGTCCCTTTCTGCGAAGAGGCGTTGTTGCAGGTGTTCGTCCCGAAACCCGCAAACAAAACGATCGCGAAGCATAATGTCCATTGAGAGCATTGTCACGTTGACCGAGGTGGTAGTCGCACCAATTGCCGCGGTTCCAGCCGATTCCACGGCGTTCGAATGGCCTGGCAGGTCAGCTGTAGCCGACTGCGCTGGTCGCAGTCAGCTGTACCGTTCCAAAATAGCAATCTGCAGCAAGTTTTTTTTAGTGGGGCAACGTATGCAGTCACTGTCTCATCCGGTAGCTAGTCTCTTCGTTGAAATCTGCACCGGCTGAAGAGCTCCGACGGGCGCGGATCGAAGTGAACTTGGAGCAAGGTGACGAGTTCTTCGATGGAAAACTCACTTGGCGTCTTTGGTGCCACCAGTGCTTTCACTGTTTCGAAATTGGTCGGACGACACAGTGTCAGGAGCACGGCGCGCATCTTTGGGTCGTCTCCGATGCCGTTCGCTTCGAAGTAATATCGTATATAGCCGCTCCGCCCACGACGACCATCCTTTTCCGGGAAACTCCTCCATGGAGCCGTTAATACTGAAGAACGGTGTTCTGCACGGCAGGTCTTTCGTCTGATGGCGTCAGGAACACTGGCTCGAGCACACTGCTCGTGAACGTGCGCGCTCACACCCCGCGCCCGTTGCGCCATACCTAACAGTTCCACGCACACTTTCAATGCACGAAAGGCTCAGTTTAGCAGGAAAATCTCGCCGTTCAATACACCCTTTTCAAAACTGCGTCAAGCAACATTGGTGGTTGAGATTTTAAGCTTGTAATTGGATACGAGTCCGCTCCAAGCGCTGACGCAGATGCTGAGCTTTGACTTCGTGGGTTTCTTTTAACATGACATCACGTAACGCTACCTCACAAAATAATGTGTTTAATCGGTGTTTTATGCCAATAAGTTCTGAATGGTGGTAAAAAACGTGTGTATGCAGTGTGAGTGTGTGTAACTTTTTAACAACAGAATTTGCAGCAGGGTGGCCAGCGCCTCGGTTGTCGCTACTGCTGTTAATTTCGGGTGCACAAAAAAGCAACCGGAATTTTTAGAGCGCAGCTCTTAGGGGACCGTTTCCAGCCTGAGCGGCGTCGGCGTCGGCGTCGCCGTCGGCGTAACCGGGGGGGGGGGTCACGTGACCCACCCCCCCCCGAGGTCACGTGATCCCCCCGAGGTCACGTGACCCCCCAGGTCACGTGAACCCCCTTCCCCCGAACCCACGTGACCCCCCCGGGGTCACGTGACTGCCCGCAGGTGACGTGACCCCCCTCAGTACCCTCCCTACTCCTCCTCAAGAGCTGCGCTCCAATTCGGCGTTACAGGGATTTGTAAACGGCTTTCATTTTTTTACGACTATTATTAATAAACAATAAGAACGGTGGCACTCACGAGTGTTCTATACCCATGGTTATACCCATAAGACCTTCATCCAAACAAAACATTTTATTGCTGCATGCTCAATATTTACAAAATGTACATATGAGCTCTTTCAGTTCAGTGGCATATATCTCACTTACCCGAACCCCTGAACCACAAAGAACCTTATCACACGTCTTTCAAAAAAATTATATATATATATATATATATATATATATATATATATATATATATATATATATATATATATATATATATATATATATATATATATATATATAACAAGATCGACAAGCAACACATAATGATCTCAGACACGTCCCGTATACATTCATCATAATGTAACACCTACAAAACTGTAATGCGGGAGGGAAAAAAAAAATCAACTTTTAAGTCGTATTAGGACAACGGTAAGAAAACGTCTGAAGATATTTTTGCTTTGACATGGAAGTTTCTTTTTGTTTTCCCCATCACAGTCTTAGGTGTCACATTTCGATTAACAATCACCAGCTTGCCTACACACTGTTTTATTTTTCAGCACACCTTGTTAACGAGTTACTTAAATTACACTTGGATACCCCTCATTTAACAGCTTAGGTCGACCAAAAATACAGTTTGTACTATAGTCACTGAGAACTTAAACAACGAAGGGTGTGGCCCATTAGGAGCACGCTTCTTGCTTCGTGATTGGTCCTCCGGCGTTCTTATCCGCTAATGCCGCAACCTGATTGGACGCGGAGTCATTATATGATGTCGGGGATCTGTCATACACCGCGTTCCTTAAGTTGTCGGTGACTTTAGGTAGTTTAGTGTTTGTCACTGAAGCAGGACCGGGCCGTCTGCAAATCCGCAAGAGCAAACTTTCTTCGCAATTAATAGAGCGACAGTATTTCAAACAACAACAACACTGAAAGCAGAGCGTGACAGGGAGTATCCAGAGATATGATTATAACAATGAGTAGGTATAAGTTTAATGTCCGAAGTTGTTAAAGGATGAACAAAAAAACAAGGATTCTAACAGGTGTCCATGAATATAAGTAATGGTACTTTTGACTATTAGAAGAAGGCCTACCAGGTACATTCCTAGCATCGCTTTCTGTTAAATGTACCCGAGGGAAGACTTATGTGATTAAAAACATTATGCGAACGGATTTCAACCACGCTTTCCTTTTTCCAAGCGTTCTTTTCTCTTTTTTTTTCTTGCATAAAAAAACGTGCTGTAAAATGTCCTTTATATTGATTTATAAAATTAATCACAGTAAAACCATACAAACCGCGATGTCATGAATACAGATTTTGCTTTCATACGCTTTCAAATAATTAAACAAGTAATTGGTATCTACAAACACCCAGTCGAAGGCACTTAAAATGTATAGAACGACCGAACCCAACAACAAACAAATTTACAACCTTTTTCAAACAAACTGCATATGGGGGGGGGGGGGGGGGGGGGATCTTTGTTCGTTAAACCATTGAGCAAAACACAAGCTTAAGAACAACCGCCCGGGATGCCATGAAACAGCTCATACGGTATTCATTCCCATTTGCACCCTGACATGACAGTCTTAAAAGGAACCTCTAAAGCGCGAAACACATGTACGACGAAAGCGTCCGATCCGACGTCCGATCAGGTAATACGACGGTCGGAGGCGAGGGTTTTCGACGCTCTCCAGTGCTACGAAAGCCCTCACCCCCGAAGGTCATTCCGGCAGTTCGAACGTCGAATCAGATGGTTTCGTCGTACATGTGTTTCGTGCTTAATCCATGTGAGACGTGTTGATCGTAATTTCGCCAGAAAAAAAGTTTATCCAAAACCGTTCGTCTACACATACCCACAAAAGTTCAGAACATCAACACTTTTACCCTATGAACCACTGAATATGCTATATAGCACAAGGGCAGTGAAGAGGAGGCAACTCGGTCGGCTGCTAGTCAGTGCCGCTGGTGGCCAAAAAGGGCAACTTTGGGACGGCCATGTCGCCCAGCGATTGGACATGAGCGCTGCGTCACAGTTCGAAACGCCGCTCGGAGATTCGAGATCGAGATCGGTTCCAATGAACGCGACCGCGGGCCGTCTCGCAGTTTCTGCGATTCCCCACAGACATGACGCCACTCATCAAACCAAACTTCATTGCCCGATGGGTATACGCGTAGAGTGCAGACCTTCCATGCACCGATGTTCGTGTGAGCGCCGCCATTTTTGGTGCTCGGTGCAAAGTTGACGCGACTGGCGATTGTTACAATTTTGAAATGCGGCTTCCTCGGCTTCAGATATGGAGTCAAAAAGCTCGGGCTCTATCGTTTCGCTGTGTCACGAACAATTCTAAAAATTTCTGGAAAACTGAAAAGCGCTACCTGCGATTTCCGACGAAGTTTCAAGAACGGGCAACTACGATTTTAAGCGCAGACACTTAAACGGTCGTTACTCTCGCTCGTATAATAGCTCTATATTCTGCGGAATACATCATTACACCAGGGACTATTACTTTTTTAAATAATTCATTAGCACATCACTTTTGTATTGGCTCTTAACAAAATGCCCGCAAAATCACAGGTGTAATACCTCAAAATAATACATTTTCTCAAAAAACAAGAAGAAAAAAACAAACGATAACACAGCAACTATGGCCGAAAGTGACTGCAACTCCGAAGCTTTCAAAATGTTCTGTTCGAGGTGGCAGTCTTAAACTCCTGGAAAACAAAATCAACGATCACGTGTTCCGACTAAATGTACACGGAAAACGCCTAGAATAATCAAAGCCCGGGTGCTCTAGTATTTCGACGTCATCGCAGTTAGGTCGAGCGCAGACGCAGATTGATACACGACTAGCTGCTTCAGTGCACGAACGGAGGGATTCTCTTATTATGGTCACGCTTTTTTGCTTCCTGATTGGTTATTCTTCGGCATTCTTATTGTCTGATGTCCATGTCTCATTGACTGCCAAGCGATAAATAGAAGCCCGGGACTCGCCACACCCTGAATTAAGCTCGTCTGCTCCTTGTGCAGCGAGTTGCGGTGACGTCATAACGCCGTGCTCTGATTGGCTCCGATTTGGAGGGATAGTGCGCAGACCTCAAGGCAGCTAGCATCGCAACCACCGCGCAGGAAGCAGACGTATACTTGCGCTCCGCGTGGTGCTGATTACGTTTCATGGAGGTACAGAAAGCTGTCCACAGGCTTCGATTATTCTAGGTGATCACTCTAATACTCGGTCACATCTCCTCCGCGCAGAACAGAAGGGTTTGTGCAGACTATCTCGAGACCCGCGTCAGAATCACCCTGTCCTGGCGATGCCGAGGTCTATAAACCATAGCCTCGTATATGGTCCATGGGCTATGTACGGGCACGTCGGCGACACATCAGATGAACAAGTGGCCACTGTTTGACCAGTTCACGGGTTCGGTCCAAGAGGACCACGAGGAGCGGTGGCTCGTGGCCAAGTTGGGTTCCGTCGGGTGTACCAGGATGCCCGGCGCCGAGACCATGGCGCCGAGAGTCACGTACTGGCAGGCCTTGCGGAGGATACGCTTGATCTTCTTCGAGGACGGCTGAAACGATCAGAAAATGCGGCGTGTCGGAAACAACCAATCCCTGCCATGCTCGAACCGTATCGCTCTCTAGTTCGACCAGTCCTAGAACACGCCTCAAATGGGTGCGTGCGCTCTGCCTTGGAATGGCAGAGAGTTGTTACCCGTTTTCTTATATGTATCTTTCTGCGGTCAGTGTTTCTATTTATTTTCCTCTCCCGTATCCCTTTCCCCACTTGGCGGCGGGCTAGCAGGCGCACCTGCGTAAGGGTCTCAACTTTTCTGCCTAGCCTTGCACGCTGCCGAGTGGGTATCGCAATCTGTGGAAATAAAAATTATTATTATTATTAATATCATATTTCACCAGAGACATTGCGGAGGTGGAGTGGATTCATCGTCTTGCTGCGAGGTTCATTTAACGTTAACGCAGCTGGAACTGGAGCCGCTCAACTTCGCCGGCAAATGGCCAGGCTCAGCTTCCTTTGCTTCCTCTGTCACGGGATAACTAGCCTGCCAGGTGATACGTATCTACTTACCGCACCGCATGGATAATCAAGATTGCATCACTCCAAAGTTATACTTTGCCAAAACAAAGTTATTTCAAAATTTGTTGCTTCTTTCCCAGCACTATTAAACAGTAGAACTGCCTGCCGGATCGTTGCTTTTTTGAATGCCTCAATGTTGGCAAATTTAGAAACATTCTACAACCACACCTGTTGTAATCCTCCCCTCCTCGGGAAGCGCTGCTGCCTGCAGTATTTGTAAATAAATAAGAAAATCCACTGCGCTCCTGAACTTCTTGCGCGAAACTAGAGGGAAGGAGAGTATTTTATTGCGCGATACGTTTTTAAATATAATCTCTTCCAGTCCTCACGCGACTACGCCAAGATATGTATAAAGGTTGCTTACAGAATGCGGAAACATCAGCTGGTCCATGCCCAGCCACCCTTAGGCCCGGATGGTTGCAATGCAAAACTATCGATAAATCGACTATCGATAGTTTTTCCCAAGACTATCGATAGTCGACTATCGATAGTACTATCGATAGTTCTGTGACATTAGGGGGTTTTAGGGAAACGTTTTTGCACATCTGATACGGTACGATGGGCCTTCCGGTACGAGGTGCGCATTTGCGAGTCTTCTGGCGTTGCGCATGCGCAGTCCGTGCTGGAGGGCCCATCGAACTGTATCGTATCTGCGAAAACGGTTTCCTAAAACTCCCTATTATCGATAGTTTTTTTTTACTACCGTTAGTCAGATTTCTGGCGACTATCGATACTATCGAAGCAATATCGATAGTTTTGCACCGCTACCGGGTGCCACAAAAGACATGCTAGAAATCCCAGCAACGATGAGCTATTAAAAAAAGAAAGTTGAAATTTCAAAGTGTTTTATGTCGCAATGAGGCAGTACCCATCCACACAAATTGCGCTTGCCAACGACCGAAATCTTGTGATATCTTGCAACGAGAAAACACGTACACTGCCACGCTGGCGCCATCTCTGAAGTGACACTGAAACTGCCTTTCACTAGACCGAATGTTTTGCAGTATTTCCGAAATCAAATCTAAGTACTATTTATAAGAACTGATCGTTTATACCATTCACACAAGTGTTCAATTCAATAAAAAAAAAAAAAAAAAACGTTGCAGACACACACACACACACACAAAAATATATATATATACTAAAATGTAAAGTGTTCCACGGCTCCACGATAGATGGTGCTAGCGTGTTGAGATCCTAAGAGATTTTAAGGCGCTGGGTCGTAAGCACCGCAAAGTGTGCGAACGAGACTTTAGCATGTCCGAGGCACCGCATGCAGCTTTTTACCAATTTCGGGTACCATTAAACTGGGCCAGCTCGAATTGCCCCTTTAAACGAAAGATTTAATTCATACTGCCTCTTCAAAGAAACATTCCTGACATCACTGAAAACATCCACTGAAGTGTGAGCGTAGCAGAAGAACGAGCTTCGTTCTTTCAGCGCTCTTGCCAAGCACGCGCGCTCGTGCAGTGCAAGCACTGTTCAGGGTCACGTGCTCGCGCTTGTATCATCGGCTGCGTATGACCACTATTAAATGTTTAAAATCTGTAAATTAATTTTTGCTGCTCCTTTCCATGTTAGTTATGGACAAATTTCTACGGCTTTTCAGAAGTGAAGATTGCGCGTGCACAGCTCTGATCCGCGCTCAATCATCAGGAGCACACGGGCGCCCGTAGCTTTCGCTCTACTATCACGCTAAGCTGTCCTCGAATACTACTCAGTTCTTCGTGCATTGTGATCCAAGTTAGAAATTCAGTTCAATGTTCAATCCCCCGCACGGGAAGAACGATACTGGTGCTCAAATCCACCAATGGGTATCTAACATATGTTAAGACGAAACGCCAAAACTGGAGTGAAGTGGAGAGCAACACGACAGTCTCCAAATTCGAGCGTTGCCCTTCATTTTTCTAAGCCTCAGGATTTTGTCTTAAAATACGTTCGACCATCACCAGCTATAGTTTGTGCTCGAACATTTTGCTCGTTAATGGCTACCTATCTTTCTTTGATAAAAATATTCTGCGGTTTAATTTGTATCGAGAGACGCATCTTCTCATAGAAACTCTTATTTTCACTTTTTTTCTCTATTTCTTTTTTTTTTTTTTTAATGTATTTTGCATTTGGTTTTTGATGCTCTGTGACCTCAGGGACAGTCATCACCGTCACATCATCCTGTTCGTGTTTATTTCTTTTTCTCTGCCGGGTGGGAATAAACGAAGAAAAAAAGAACAGACAGAAAAAAAGAAACCCGGGCAAGTGCCCTGATAGGAAAGAGTATCGTCGGCCAGCTTTTAAGCAGGAAACGGTTAGACGCCCGCCGGCTGCATTCGCAAGGGCTCAATCATCACTCGACACGTGCTCCAGCGACCGCTTGACGTCACCTTGTTTGTGCACGGGTCAAACGTTGTTATGCCATTTCCGTGCGGTGGCTCTATACTGTCGGCTTGTGCCACCTAGCTTTGACTATAGGTGGCGCAAGTCACCGCCCGATTCAAAGGTGATGGTGCAAACTCCCAAAGACGACGAGCGTCGTGACGAAGTGCCTTTGGCGGCGCTTGATTAGCACCATCGGATCGTTGCGCTGGCTACACATCGAAAAGTATAATCTGTGCTTTGAGTCATTCGCTGGGGATTCTTTCATGGTTCGCCGTGATTGGCATATGCCTCTGTGCTTTGCAGAAAATTTAACTCGGACGTTTTGTTTAGAGTGCGTATAGTGATTAGCCCACTTCACACAGTAGTTTGCGATTACTGGTTCTCTAAGTGTACCCGTGGGAAATCAAACGTAAAAAGTACTCTTTATTTTTTTTTTTGAATGTAAGAGTTTATTGAAATTCTAAACGATCAAACATAATCGAATACCAACGGTGCTCAAAAACAGAGGCTATAGGAAATGACGCACACGCGCAGACACACAGGCACGCGCGCCCACGCACACAACTCGACAATCGCTGACCTTGTTATTGAAATAAACACTGTTTCAAAGTCATACATTTTTACCGATAACAAGTACGACCTCTACTTCCGTCTATTTCTGCGCAAAGTGTATACGCATAAGCACTCCGATAATTCTAGATAAACTCTAAACCCCGCCAGAAAAAGAAAAAACAAAACAATAGAGTCGAAATTTGGACGGAAATAGGAAAGTGCGCAAATTGTCGTACGCTAGGTATTAAAAAAGAACAGAAAAATGAAATACCCGCACGGGATAATTTATTACACAGAACTCGCGAAAAATAATTTAGTTTTTTCCGAGAAAAGAAATTAATGTTCGCATGTCCCAATTTCGCTTTCGATGTTAAGGTCGTCTGGGTGTGTGTGCGTGGGTGTGTGTGTTTTTTAGAGTGACGCTTGCAGCCTTTGCGTTCGCCTTTTTTTGTTCTATATGTTATATAGTCTGTTGTAGGTTAAGTAAAAGCAGGACAAGTTTCTCTCACAAATCTCTCAACTCCAGAGGAGCGGCGGCTTCCTCCTCCTATTGGCCTCCTGTCCAGCGTTGACTCTGCTAAAAAAAGGAATTGGTGGAGGGCCTCGTTGGAGGAGCTTGCCCTGCTTTCCTTAGCCTGCAACAGTTTACGGTGAGAAACCTACGACAGCTGTGTACCACGATTTGGAGAAAAAAAAAAAAAAAGATGTGCAAATACTCCTTTGCGTGGCTTCTTTCGCACGGAAAATTGGAATTGTTAGCTTGGAAATTTTAGGTAATATATCTCACTGTTGCTCCACGCCTGAACATGCATATGATCAGCACGAAAGTGTCCCGGGGTGCCGATATGTACCGTGTTGTACGCTCTTTAAAGGGCTGTCCGAACAGGACACAGCAGATGGAGTGTTCCCTCACGGCAGATGAAGGGTTGACTAAATTGACGGCATATGACGCATTCCCATCTGCTTTCGCACGTTCTTGTTGCGGGGGGGGGGGGGGGGGGGGGGGAAGCTACCCGTGGGTCCGGACATCCAATCTGCTGACTGTCGTCAGTCTCCCCATCTTTCGAAAACACGAAATGGGAAGGGGCGACAGCGAGGAGACGAGGAGGAAAGCCGTGCTGTTTGCGTGGTTGTTGTCCAAACTGAAAAGGGACGTGCGCACAGCAACTTTCACGCCGTATGCCGTGAATTTAGAAAACACTTCATATGTCGAAAGGAAACGCCGTCTGCTGTGTTCTGTTTGTACAGGGGTGCCCAGCGTCTTCTTCGTGACCTCCGAATTGCTTAAAAATTTGCTAAACACACCAACTTACATAGTTGAAATAGTATCTCAAATATTAGGTCAAAATATTGTTTTTTTCGGTAAGTTATTGAATTTACAATATTTGTCCTTGCCGTGTTTTTTTTTTTTTTAAATGAGTCTCTACTGGCAACAATAAAAAAAAAAAGTTACTCCAGTGGATCGCAGTTTTTTACAAGAAATATCTAGATATATAATCTGGCAAAATTGATGGGTTATGTGAATCAAGGAAAAACGAAATTTAATTCAAA